CCTACTGCAGCTGCGGTAGGGTCAACGAGCCCCAGCAGGATCGCCTGCTCCAAGTTGCAGACGTGGCTAGTGCAGGAGGATGGGACTCTGCTGGTATATGGATCTATTTATGACCCGAAGGAAGACAAGCTCAACCCAGGTCTCTTATTCTGTTGTTTCTTCGCTTCTTTTTCTTTTTCATCGTCATCTCCAACCTCCTCCTCCTCCTCCTCCTCCTCCTCCTCCTCCTCCTCTCTGCTTCTTGTAGTTCTGCTTCTTGTTTTTGTTCTTGTTCTGCTGCTGCTTATTCGTCCTCCTCCTCCTTGTATTCTTCTGCTGCTGTATCTCCTCAATATCAGCATTCCTGCACCTCAACCTCCCATGCTCTCCCCACGATCTCCTTAAACCCTCCTCCTCCCTTCCCCTCTCCCTCCGCTCCTCCTCTTCTTGCTACTTCCTCCCTCCGTTCTACATGGTTCCTTGAGCTGATACATTCAGTTACAGACCAGTTCCCTGCTGGAGAGATTGCCCCTCTCAGCTACAAAGTTGACAAGGTGGTTTGCGGGAAGTACCTGTCACTGCTGAGACTGCGAGGGAACGGGATGGAGATGTTGAGGTTGTGAAGACGGTGATGCGATGTAATATAGAACGAATCAAAAAGTCATCAAGCGATTCAAAACTGTAGCCGTGACAAGGAAAAAAACTGTCACAAGAAAAGCAAGACAACTTTGACGCAGCAACAGCAAAAATGCCATCGACACATCAAAATGTCGAAAAGACACCAAAACTCACTGAAAAGAAGAATAATCACGTCAGACAAAAGAGGATCCAAGGCCGAACATGTGTGCAGAGCAACATTCCGAGCATGCCGATGGATGAAATCGACTACCAGGCTCTAGATCCTCGAACCAGCCATCACCCCCAGCTAGCAGTGAGAGGAGAAGGAGGATGAGAGCAGGATCGGTTTAGAGCTCTTGGATCGATACATGATGCTTGCAGCTGAGACGAGGATGGAACCGAGCACAAAGTGACTAGAAACCTTCTTCTCCTCTCCTGTGACCCCGCTGAAGGTGATAAACCCTTGGATCCAGGTCGCGAACACCCGGCAGAAGTTGTACGTGTTGGAGTCGAAGTACTTGAACACAAAGCTCATCGATATGTCCGCCATGGCGATCCCTGCTATCGCTCCGAGCGTACTCCAACTGTACCCGTGGAAGGGATGGAGGAGGGAGGAAGAGCTCGAGACGTGGAAGATGCTCAGGAGGAGGAGAGCGACAATGTTGGCGAGGAGGCCGTAGAAGGAGAAGAACATCCCCTGCAGAAAGATGTGATGGTTTTGTGCCTTGGAAGCCTTCTCAAAGTAAATCCCCTGCGCTGCTGTGCAGAAGCCTCCAAGGATAGCAGAGTAGAGCCCAGGGTTGGTCAGGATTGAGGCAGATGAGAACGAGCTCCCAAGACGGTCGACGTTGGGTACCAGCAGGCAGAAGCCGAAAGTGAGAAGGACGATGCTCAACACTTGTCTCCTAGTGAGGATGTGGCCGAGAACTGTCTGCGAGAGGACGGCGGTCACCAGCATGCAGACCCCCTGCAGTGCGATCTGATACATTACGCTGCCAAGGTAAGAGATGCCGATGAAGAGAGTCTGGTTGGCGATAGCAAGGAGGATCGCAGGGACGATGTAGGGGATAGAATCCTTCGAGTTGAGGGGTGGAAGAGGGTGCGCCAAAGGAGTCCTCAACAGAAGAATCCGGCAGGACATCAGCTTCATGCCCTCGGCTACTGCTACAGCACAGGGCAGAGAGTACTCGTAAGAAGGAGGGTGAGATGGAGAGGAGGAGGAGGAGGAGGAGGAGGAGCTCAGGTGTATCATGATAGGCTCCATAGCCTTCGCCCATGTTGCTCCCAGCAGGACTCCCGCCATGGCGTGCTGGGGGATGTGGGCGAAGCGAGTCACGCGGCGACGAGGAGGGATGAGGGCTTTCCAGCATCCGAGTGTGCCTCAAGATCGTACTAGTAATCCTCACAAGGCATCTGGGCATCACTACATATTGGTCTAGAACAGGCTTTTGCGGCAGCAGCGCAGGGCAGCTGATGGTGGCAACAGACAGCAGCGACAGGTCGAGCAAGAGGAGGAAGACGGAGGGATCAGACAAGGGAGGAGGAGGAGGAGGAGGAAGAGGAGAGGGGGGAGAGGACGGGTCAGGCCAGTCACGAGGACGGAAGGGGGTGTGCGAACACGGGCGGCAGCGATCGAGATGCAAGGAATGCGGGGGCGGCAGCATATGCGAGCACGGGCGGCGGCGATCGAGATGCAAGGAATGCGGGGGCGGCAGCATATGCGAGCACGGGCGGGTCCGATCGGGATGCAAGGGATGCGGGGGCAGGAGCATATGCGAGCACGGGCGGGTCCGATGGAGATGCAAGGGATGCGGGGGCAGGAGCATATGCGAGCACGGGCGGCAGCGATCGGGATGCAAGGAATGCGGGGGAAGCGGTATATGCGATCACGGACGGCAGCGATCGAGATGCAAGGGCTGCGGGGGCAGCAGCATATGCGAGCACGGGCGGGTGCGATCGAGATGCAAGGAGTGCGGAGGCAGCAGCGTATGCGAGCACGGACGGCAGCGATCGGGATGCAAGGAGTGCGGGGGCAGCAGCATATGCGAGCACGGGCGCGTCCGATCGAGATGCAAGGGATGCGGGGGAGGCAGCATATGCGAGCACGGGCGGCAGCGATCGAGATGCAAGGAATGCGGGGGCAGGAGCATATGCGAGCACGGGCGGCAGCGATCGGGATGCAAGGGATGCGGGGGCAGCAGCATATGCGAGCACGGGCGGCGGCGATCGAGATGCAAGGGATGTGGGGGCAGCAGCATATGCGAGCACGGGCGGGTCCGATCGGGATGCAAGGAGTGCGGGGGAGGGAGCATATGCGAGCACGGGCGGCGGCGATCGCAATGCAAGGGCTGCGGGGGCAGCAGCATATGCGAGCACGGGCGGGTCCGATCGGGATGCAAGGGCTGCGGGGGCAGCAGCATATGCGAGCACGGGCGGGTCCGATCGGGATGCAAGGGATGCGGGGGCAGGAGCATATGCGAGCACGGGCGGCGGCGATCGGGATGCAAGGGATGCCGCTGAGGGAAGGGAGCATATGGGAGGAGGGAATATGCTGATCACGTAAGGTTGAAGTCTTTCTCCTGCTCTTTCGGGGACCGTCAGTGACTGACAGGTAGATGGAGACTCTACTCACGTCAGTCCTCACAGAAAGCTGCGACCGTAACCGTTGAAAACTCTCCTGTAAAACTAGTACCAGTCTAACAAACTTGTGCTCTGGCTCAATGTCTACATTCACATCTCCTTCCTCTCCTCCTTCCTCTCTCGTCTTGTCTGATCCTTCCAGCCTCCTCCTCTTGCGGCATTGCTGTCTCGGACGGATGCCACATGGATCACTGATATGATCAGAGGGCCCAGACTAACCCGGCCCAAACTGAGAGACTGAGTGAAAGTTGTAACTGTACTGGACCGGTTCTCTATTGCGACCATTCGCACTACCCCTAGTTAACACTGAATAAGTATGGGGTCACCTCAAGTTCCTTCCTCTCTCCTCTCTCTTTCACTTTCTCCTCTTTCTTGCCCAGTCTCAATAAGTGATCTTCTTTACTCAAAGTTAAGTTAAAAATCAGTACGGGGACAATCAAGATGAGTCCTATCCTTCACTCTACGCCAGTGAAACGGGTACTCCGTGGGGCAAGTCGACTCTAAGCTTGTGACTCGGCTGTACTGGCAGCTGCATACTATGATATGATGGGTTCAATCGGTTTCTTATCACTAAATGCGTGGGGAGGAGGTGGGTAGTCACGCGGCGACGAGGAGGGATGAGGGCTTTCCAGCATCCGAGTGTGCCTCAAGATCGTACTAGTAATCCTCACAAGGCATCTGGGCATCACTACATATTGGTCTAGAACAGGC